GCAGTAATGCAGTACGTTCAGTTCACGTTCGCCCAAAATATGAACGAGTTCATGAACTTTCGTTCAATGAACGCGTTCAGGCACAACACTGCCCACACTGGCCCACACAGTTCTGGGTGAGGGATCCACTACTGTGAAAATGTTCATGGCTGTATATTGATTTTTTATTCTTCGGGTGACTGCATAGTATGTATATTTGTGAAAACACTGCATAGTACAGCATTTTATTTTGTTTCCTTTTTTATCTCTAACCGCTTATTTTTTATTTTATTCACTTTTAAGGTTCACATTTCTGTGGCCAAGTTTTGCTGTAATGTTGTTGTAACACCACAAATTCTCCATTGTGGGACAATAAAGGGCTTTTCTATCTTCACCTTTATAATTGTGGTCCTTGAGTAAGCCTATCTGTCAATACAGGAGTCGCAATATCCCATAGTGAGATACTGAAACTAATGTTGAAAGAGAAATTTAGGTTAAGGAGTTTACCCCAGTTCTCTGGAGCATGAGTGAGGTATCTTACCAGATCACCCTAATAATGTGTTAATTTGCTATGCTTAAATCAGTCTGATAAAATGCATTGAGGTTGCAGGTTAGTATAAGATATAATTATCTTTTACCGTCTTAATGGCCTTTAATCGTCTTGCTTCGGGTATAAACATTAGATCAAACATGTGGGAAAACGGTCCATGTCCTGAAAAGAAAAGAAGTCAAAGTTCAGGGGTTTGAGCTATGATTTAAAGTCTATATATAATATCTTAAACAGTTCTTCATTTTGAAAACAAACATTCTAAACTTCTTTTTGATCCTAACAGAAATGGGTTTAAAGGTCAGTTTTAATCTTGAAATACAAGTTGAAACATTTCTTTTCACAGACACTGATACAATTTTGAATATATAAAAAAGAAGCTAATATATATATATATTGATATTGTTTTAAAGCTTATAACACTTATGGTTGTTATTTTTCTTTTTATGTTATTAGACGTTGGGTCTAAAACAGAAATTGAACAGGTGATAGACTGCACCTGCCGAATCCTGTGTTACAATGTTACAATAACAACATATAAATGAAATCTATAATTTTCCCACAATGAGAAAATCTACCTTCTACATTAAACTATTACTTTGTTCAGTTACCATTCTGGGGTATTAGTTTTCCTCAGGAAACAAATATGCTTCATTTACTTATTTGAGATGATTGACTAATGCTTAGCTAAGGCAGTGAAATACAATATTTATTTTTTCAAAATTCAAACTGCTGCTGGTTTTTTGAATATTAACTGTGAGTCTGACTCAGGAAGTCCCTCACCAAGGTCATGGCAAAGGGCGGCAAATTGCACACAAAGGACGTCCCAGTCAGTAATCCCAAGATCCTGCTGCTTCTCTTTGATAGACTTTAGAATTTCTCCAGCCAGGTAAGCCACCCTGTAACAGAAAAAAATAAAATAAAATAGATTAATCCTAACAAGATAAATCAAGGAAACTGACATAAGCCTTTTTGAGAGAACTATTGTTCGTGAACCTCAGTAACTATACACTTAATTTACCCAATGCTGTGTTCGAAGCGGCTGTGGGTTGCTCCAGGGTAAACATAAGATACAGCTCCAAGCTGCTTGATGTTTCGAAGTCGTTGAAACTGAGGCGTGTCAATGATCTTGACAAGGAGTGGATGCAGCTCTATAGTCCCATGGATGGGATCTTTAAAAATCTGACATGAACATAAGGAAACATCTTTGACATCATTATCATACAGAAAGGATGAAAATAATAAATATTTGCATAAAAAGGAAGCAGAAAAGAAACTCAAATGCTTATTTTATTGAAAAATCTCATCTTGTTTTATATCTGTTTTAAGTTCTCTAATGAAAACGTATGATCCTCAGAGAAAACAGAATAGGATAGAGATAGCTCACATAAAATTACTTACAGTAACAACTAAAAAGGAAAACACGAGTTAAAAAATATATTAAGTAATATGACTTAATCTGAAAAGTGAACATTAATTAACAATAAAACAGCCTTTGCCATGAATACAAAGCCCAAATAAAGTGATCTTTAGTGGACCTAATCCTTGTCTGAGTCTCTGTGTGTTTAAAACAAATTTTTTCTGCCACTTTGAAGTCTTAAGGAACTGAATGTTACATTTCTGTTTCTAAATGCTCCTTTTATTTTATCTCTATAGCTGTAAAGTGAGAACAGCTCTACCTTCCTTTGCTCTGCCATTGTTTCCAAAAGCCTTCAGAGGTTTTTCAGGATTTGCAGATGGTCAAAAAAATTCTTGAAATGAAGGATCAGATTTCTGATGTGAAGATGCTGTAAATGAGGGAAATAAAAAAGTGAGGATTGTTAATGTGAGAAACAGATATGAAAAACACTTGTCAATTTATGTTATTTAAATATCCAAAGACAATATATGAATAAAATAGCAATAATTGCTGATCCTTTTTTTTTCTCTACCTTAATGTAACAGCTTAAAAGCAAACTCAACGATCTGCTCAGATCTTCCAGGTGAAGATGATTGACCAGCTTCCATCAGTGTGGTAATTTATACTGGAAACCTAACCACCTCCAGGGGACGGATTAAAGATGATGTACGACATGTATGCACCTCCTCCAGGTTCATTGTAGTTTAAAATGAATAACCATCTCATTGCCTTTGTTCACTGTAACCATTAGAGGGAGTGGTGATTAGGGCATAGAGCTTGGAATTCCTGAGGTTCTGCGTTCGAGCCCCAATCCTACAGACTGCCACTCTGTTTCTGGCTCTGAGCAAGAAGTCTCAGTCTGGGGTTGAGTCCCTTAACCCCACACTGCTACCAGGGTGCCCCACGATGGCAGCCCGCTGTTCGCCAAGGGGATGGGTTAAATGCAGAGGTGAATAACTCCAATGTGAGATTAATAAATGTCGATTATCAATTATTATTTTACTATTGTAACGGTAGCTGTTTTTAAAGTGAATGAATTAGTTAGTTTTAAATATATATATATATAATTAATAGAAATACATTTTTAGAAATATTTACAAAAACCTAATTATGGTATCTCGTTGTTCTCATTTCTAACTTGTTTAACAACATAACACCTATTTCAGGTTTCAAAAAATGTAGGTGAGTGGCAGCATTGTCCTTGATCATGTGCAACAGAACAAACACATACCAAGTATGAAAAGATGGGATCACACCCTTGACAGTTGCAGGCATTTAAATAAAGACCAACTTGTTGTTGTTTTGTGGTTAATGAGTTCCACCAGTAAAGACGCTTGACACAAAGACTATTTTTTGAATTATTTTCTAACAATTTACATGCAGCTTAAAAGACACCCTTAAGGTAAAATAAAATATTGTCAAAAAGCATTTAGTGCAGTTCATTTTAATATGCTTTACTACTGTTCAGCTTAATATCTTGTTCTTTGAAATTGGTGGCAGTAGTAAAATATATGTGTAGGACATCATCTTGGCCCACTTTTTCCCTGTTCCTTTAAAAAAAAAATTGAAAAACACCCCAGTCCATCTTAGTATTTTTACTGACCTTCTCCATTAGCTAATGACCACAGAGTGGATGATGAACCATCACACACAGTTCAGATTATCTAAAACTAGTTTCATCTCAATGACTCGCTGACAACAGATTAAACCAGTGTCCGCTGGATACTTATATGCCAGTTGCAGGTTTAGTGACCAATCGTTCTGTCATCGGTAGATAAAAAAGTAATGTATAATTGCAGAGTTGGATAATACATAAAGATGTATTCTAATGAAATGGACAATTGCTTACAAATAACAACCAATGTGGTAATTAAGTGAAAAACTAGGTTTAGATAACAGCTAACTGATTGTGCAAGACTCCTACGTCAAGTCTGGAGTGTTCGTAATATTTGTTCGTACCTGAGAGAAGGTTAGAAATATGAGAGAGATGGTGAATTAAACATTTTCTTCTAAATCACTCGTACAAACAGTTTATTCAGATCCAATGTTCAGATTATCTCAAGCTTTTTTTTTTTTTTTTTTATCTCGGTGACTTTATTTCTCCAACAAACAGTGATAGTGAGGACATCAGTAGAATCCATACAATTTAGATAACCTTTTTTTCAAACTCTATTAAATATTACATTTTTGTTCTTCCCTCCTAAATAAAGAAACACAAAAAGCATCAAAAACTATGTGATGAACACCTGGTTTAGATCAGACACACAAACAACAGCAGCATTAATGATAAGAAGTAAAGAGTTGAGTATACCACTTTGTCACTCGACCTGCTGTTAAAGAAAAACATTGCTGGTTTTTATCAGTTCATAACGAAGCCAACAAAAATACCAATCATGAAAAAAAATGGGATCACACCCTTAGTTGTTGCAAGCATTTAAATCCAGAAAGACTTGTTCTCATTTTGTAGCACGTGGATTACTGGAAAACACGTAGGCCAGTCTTACTATGAGACTACTGATTAGTTCCTTGTGGAAAGGGCAAGAATTTTTGGCTACTTAACCAGTACTGACTGGGAAACACACTGTCCAAACCTTTAGCCAGTACTTACCAGGAACACACAGCCAAGCCTTATTAGGGGACTACTGGATTGACACCACAGGAACAGAGGAGATATTCTCCATGTGGGTTCTGGATAAATCCTGCAGCAGTGAGGTCTTAGCTTGTTACTGTCAAAAAACAGTTTTTTTTTATTGTCTTTTGTAAACCTATTGAAAAACATTACAATAAGCAGCCCATTTTCACCAATCACTAATTTAGCCTACAAGTTTAGCACATTTAGAATGTAATTTTAAATTGGTAAAATACTTTGGATGCAGCCGCCTATCTCCAAACCCACACATGCAAGATCCCATCTCTCCTCTTCTGGCTGCTCTCCATTGACACTGTTTGTGCTTGAATTCTTGTATTTGTTTTTAATGTCCTTACAGTCTTCCTCCTTCTTATCTTACAGATTTAATTCACCCTTACTATCTTAGACAGGCTGTAAGGTCAGATGATCAGCTGCTCCTTAGAGTTCCAAGGTTGAGTGAAGCCTTGGAATGGTTAGCCTCTCACAGTTTTGGCCCCCAAGTTAAGAAATGTGTTATGTTAGCATGTTAAGCAGGTTCCTTTACTGATGTCTTTTAGATTCTCCTTGAAGACCCATCTATATGTCTCATGGTATTTAACACAGCATGATTTGTTTGTTGTTTTACCAGGAGTAGGTTTGGATTCTTTCATGTCTGGTCTATTCTTTTCTGTATTGTTTGATTTCACAGCACTTGAGGTCAACTTTTGCTGTTTTTAAGTATGTTTTATACATATATTGGATTGGAATTTGAATAAAACTTGGCACATAGAGTTGTTTTAATCATCCCTCCCAGGAACACAAGAGTTTATAGCAAACTTAAAAAAAATATTTTATAACTACCTGACAACTACGAAATACATTTTAGAAGATTTATTATGTTTAAGTCTGTGTGTGACTTCTTAAAATTCACTCTCAGGTACATTTTTGGAATTATCTACAAAAACCTAATTATGGTTTGTCACTGTCCTCATTTCTAACTTGTTTAACAACAAAATACTTTTTTCGGTTTTAAAAAAATGTAGGTGAGTCCTTGTCCTTGATCATGTGCAACAGAACAAACACATACCAAGTATGAAAAGATGGGATCACACCCTTGACAGTTGCAGGCATTTAAATAAAGTCCAACTGGTTGTTGTTTTTTGGTTAGTAAATTCCAGCAGTAAAGACGCTTGACACAAAGAATATTTTTCTTTTTATTATTTTATAACAATTTACATGCAGCTTAAAAGACACCCTAAAGTAAAATAAAATATTGTCAAAAAGCATTTAGTGCAGTTCATTTCAAGATGCATTACTACTGTTCAGCTTAATATCTTGTTCTTTGAAATTGGTGGCAGTAGTAAAATACATGTGTAGGACATCATCTTGGCCCACTTTTTCCCTGTTCCTTTAAAAAAAAAAAATGTAAAAGCACCCCAGTCCATCTTAGTATTTTTACTGACCTTCTCTCAGGTACGAACAAATATTACGAACACTCCAGATTTGTCGTAGGAGTCTTGCACAATCAGTTAGCTGTTATCTAAACCTAGTTTTTCACTAAATTACTACATTGGTTGTTATTTGTAAGCAATTGTCCATTTCATTAGAATACATCTTTATGTATTATGCAACTCTGCAATTATACATTACATTTTTATCCACCGATGACAGAACAGTTTGTCACTAAACCTGCAACTGGCATATTAGTATCCAGCGGAAACTGGTTTAATCTGTTGTCAGCGAGTCATTGAGATG